TCAGGCGGGCCGCACACAGTTACGCATTGCGAAATGCCTACTGAGTGTCGCCTGCTGTCCCAAGCGCGGGGACCCCGCATGGACGGGACAGGCAAGGTCCCAGGCATGGGGGACTGAGCGGTGTGCCAAGACCTGAGTGCCGGGAGGGGACATCGCGGTGGCACTTTGGCACCTCGCCTCTTTCCAGTCTTAGCTAGATATCCCCTGTGTTCACCCTATGGCGAGGCTGACCCTCTGACCTCTGTGTTTCGAATCACACTTCCTTTCTTCATCCCCCTTCCAGCTTTCCACTTCGCTTAGGTCGTACCACCATCTAATATTCTAAATCATTTTCTTATTCATTTAACTTCCTGTGTCTCTCCCCCACTAGAAAGAAACCCACCAGGGCAGGATCCACTGTCGGTTGTATTCCTGGCTGGGCCCTCAGAGCCGTGCACGTATTAGGCCCTCGATAAATATTTGTGGAATTAATAAATTTAACCCTTAGGGATCTATCATGGGCAAACTTATGCCGCAGCATGGATGAACCTTGAAAACATGATGCTAAGTGAAAGAAGTTAGACACAAAAGGATATGTTGTATGATTTCATTTATATGAAGTGTCCAGAAAAGGCAAATTCAGAGACAGAAAGTAGATTAATGGTTCAGGGGGCTGGGAAGTTGGGGCAAAATGGGGTGCAACTCTGAATATATGAAAAGCCACTGAGTTGTGGGAAAAGAGTGACTTTATGGTATGTGAACTGCATCTCAATAAAGCTGTTACAAAACCGAAGCCAAACAAAAAGCTTCTCTCTCCCCCTATTTTTCTATTCCCTGCCTCCTCTGGAAAGGATTTTGAGTGTTTTAAAGGGCTGCTGTGTAAAGCATGGTCAGATGCAGCCACTGAAGGGGAACCAGAAAAGAATGAAAAACAAGGATGGAGGGTCGGTGGGACCTGGCGACTCCTGGAGGCCTTTTTTCCTTCTGTTCTAGACAGGACCCTCAACTTGGCTCCTTCCATGAGAAGGTTCCCAGCAAGGAACCACCTGGCCCCGTCCACAACCTTGGCCCCACCCTCACCAAGCCCCTCTTACCAGAGGCTACCTACTGGGGGTTGGGGGACAGATCTCAGTCACCTCTGGTGCAGAGTAAAGATGTAAGGAGTATTTGTGCAGATCGAATGATTGATTGCCTTCTCAAGCCTACCAGAGGGCAGATTGACATAGGGTGAGCGCCATCCTTTCTCTGGAGTAAACTTCACCTCCTGAGCCTCAGTTTCCCTGTCTGTGAGTGGGGTCTATAAGTCCACTGCCCACTCCCACCCTGAAAAGGCTTACACTTTGGGGACATTTTTTCTTTTTACCTTTCAATAGTTGAGATTTGTATTTAATATTTATTTGTTCAGAAACAACAGTATAGAAATTCTTTTTAAATTAAAGAGGGTTAGGTTAAAACTACCTCTGGAACCCCTTAGAGAATCCTTTAGATGAAGTTCTCACTGCCTGTGTTGCCGTCCTCCATCTCTCTCCCCTTCTCCATGAGGACAAATACACATTCATCTTTCAGTACTTTCTTCAGGCATCTCTTTACTCTAAAGCCTCACTTGCCCATCTTTGACCCCTCCAAGGCCCCTCCCTACCTCAAGAAAGCTAATCTCACATCTTGTTCTGTGTCTGTATCTTGAGAATCTCCACTCTTACATGAGTTCAGGCACTCATTCATTCATTAATTCATTCTGCAGACATTTAGAGAATTCCTACTATGTGCCAGGCACTGTGGTATGTGCCAGGGATAGAAAGAAGATGTTTCAAGGAGTTCAGGGAGGGAGGCAAACAAGAGCAATTACTGTATCACGAGCAGTCCCGTGTCAGACTTGCATTCAGAGTGCAATGGATGGGACATCTTTTTTTACAGGTTTAGTTAAAGATTCTCCCTGTATAGATAGACATAGATAAGAATAGACAGATATGGATAAACAAAGATATGTATGGCTCTCTCTGTGTATACATAGATGTATCTCTCCCTCTATCTAGAGAGATTTAACTGTATGTATTTTAACAGCCTATAACTTGGCATGGACGTCTGTCTCCCTGGTGTTGGGTTCTATATTAGAACTCATATGAATGAGATATACAACCTGAAAGGGAGGGCCTGGAGGAAGGGCTTGGAACATATTCAGGACTCTCCACGACTTTGACCTGAAAAACATGCAGACTTGGACAACCTGACTTTATCTCGCTGTCCCCATCACCACTTGGGAACAATCCTTTCACTTTTTTTTCCCTTTAAGTCACATTTTCAAATTAAAAAAGCATTGCACATGTAACTGGGAAAATACAGAAAAGTCTGAAAAGAAAAATAAACCACTCACTCCTGCACCATCCAAAAATAATCATCGTTCATATTGTTGTTTCTCCATATCTCACCCCTCCAGAACCACTTTATGTAGTTTCTTCACAATAATAACACGAGCACCACTACCAATCACATACAGCTCACTGTGTGCTAGACGTGGCTCTTAGCTCCCTGAATTTATTATCTCTTCAACTCTTTGAGGCAGGTACTGTATTGCAAGCACTCAAGGCCTGGCAGGTTCACAGATTTGGGCCGACTGAAGAACACTCATGGAGCTGTAGGTATAGCTGACATGCCTTTACTGCGGGCGGAGTACACAGGCTTCAACTGCGGCAGCTGCTGGAAGTCCTGTCCGCCTTATATACCAAGGCAAGCAAAGCCAGCATCCCTCCACTATGAGCTTTGGGCTAACTAGCGCACTTGCGCGGCGCAAGTCATTACACAAGAGTACATGGGTACTGCGCATGCGGGATAATATAGCCCAGTCACTGGGCACTGGATGTCTGGCCAAGGAGCCTGACGAACTCCATTTTCCCTACAGGTACTATTACTTTCTCTGTTTATAGAGGTGGGGAAACTGAGGCCTGGAATAGTTTAATCACTTGTCCAAGGTCACAGAGCGTGTAAGAAGTAGAGCTGGGCTTTGAAGCAAGGCAGTTGGGCCCTACACTCTGCAGGCCTAACCTTGCCCGCTGCACCATCCTGCCTCTGGCGATGCTAAGAGTGAGGTCTGCTTGCTGCAGAGAACTTGGAAGACATTATCTACCCGAGGAGGAGAGCTGTCAGTACTCACATATAAATCCAGCCCAGTGTTTTCTCCCTGCCCGTATCCCTGCTCACTTATGCACCTGACACCTGTGGGGCAGGCCCTTTGGAAACCGACTTTCCCCCATCCCTCTTTTGCAAACATCATGAGCTTTTCTCTTGTCCATAAGTTCTCTTCTATTGGATTGTGAAGTTGACCCTCCTGCACTGTTGGGCATCTAGCTGGTTTCACTATTGTAATAATGCAGGTGAACCTTCTAGTAAACACGCCAGATGGTAAAGTGGAGTGGCTGGGTCAGAGAAGCCACCATTTGTAAAGCTCTGACCTTCCCCCAAAGGCTATCCTAGTCAGTGGCCCCTGACAGCAGCTCAGCACCTCCTCACTGCTGAGGTTCAGGTATCATCAGATGGAACCAGGGCCAGCTACGTAATCTGGAGGATCCAGTACAAAATAAAAACGCAGGCTCTTGTTCACAAATTAGGAAAAAGGCTTTTCCCTTTCTTCTGAAGTCTCTCTCTCTCTCTGGGCCCGTCGTGGTGCTTTTTATTTGCTGTTTCATGCTGTGCTCTTTTGGACACAGGGGTACTTATGGGACTCATGCAGACCCTCACAAGCACTGGGGACAGTGGGATCTGGGGGAGTAGAGCAGAGCCAGCCCTAGGCCTTCCTGCACTCTGCCAGGCCCCCACTGGATGACAACGATTGCCAGGCAGGGGGCAAGGAAGTCTGTGGTCAAAAATGGTCCTGGGAGGCAGGGAGGGTGGTGTCGGGATGGTAGGACCACGTTTGAACCTGTGGAGGAAGCTCCAAGTCCCCCAGCACATGCTCCATTGTCCCATCTGGCTTCACTTTCAAAACATGAAGTTAGAAGATAATATTGTTAAGAATGTCAGGACAACAATCCTAGAGTCTTAATCCCCAAGCTCGGGGACTTTCTGCGTGTGGGGCCCTATGTGAACATTGGCCCTAGATGGGACAATTGGAACTATCACCTGGACATGCAGAATGATACTAAAAGGGAGGGGTAGCAGGCTAATTGTGTGTGATCCACAGTCCTTGGGCTAAATATTCTCCAGATCATCTGTGGGGTCCTCTTGGTACCTTGTGGGTCCATGCTACTGTTATCCCCACTTCACAGATGAAGAGACTGAGGTTCTGAGTAATTGGACAAGGCATCTCATATCACACAGCTGGGAAGTTAAGGAACCAGGATGAGAAACCCAGGGTAGCGCCCAGATAACCAGTTAACCAGCATTGGATGGGCTGCAAACTGGTTTGCTTTCAGGCTACCTTCTCAGCTTTGAGCTTTCTGGTGCCAGGAGGTCACAGCCATTACTAAGGGGAGGC